GGGGGGGGGGGGGGGGGGGGGTATCTGATGTGTTGCAGAGGGTTTCCCCTGAAAGCATGGAATGATAAAAGGTTTTAGAGGAACGCTGTCTACCTTCCGGATTCTTCCTGACTGACTGGAGACTTTGTGAGGCCAGCGGCTCCAGGAAGTAAACACCACCCATTTACATTTTAAATGTGATATTCTAACCAAAGTACTCTGGGCAGTGTGTTTTCAGGCAGAGCTTTAGAGATTTGACCGTATTCCATAAAGCTCAGGGATAACTCTGGGAATATTTAAAGTTTTTTTTGTTGACATTCCTCTCACAGAGCCCACTCAGCCTCTCTCTCCACGCCCCCTTAATCAGTAAATATCACCTTCTGGTGTTGGTGAGTGCATCACCTGGCTCTCCTGTCTCACACCAGGAGGGCAGTATACCCCCCCCCCCCCGGGTCAGGGTGTAGACGTGTTTGGCAGCTTTGTTGACCCCCCTGGGGGGTCCAGAAGGGAATTTGAGCTGTAAGACAACACTGATACTACTGTGGACTTCGTTTGGGGAATCACACTTTTCTGACCGGTGAGGTCAGAAACTGGACCTGTGACCTGTCAGTCGGTTTTTCTGAGTGAGAGGAAACGTTGGATGATGAGCCATCCCTCCTCTCTGTGTCAGGAATGGGAACTCCAGGCAGGACTCAGAGTTCTGCCACAGACCAGGTCTTTATCAGCACACAGAGGAAAAGTACCAAACAAGAACCCCTCTGACCAGGGAGAACCAGACTGTGGACAAACACAGGTTCATAAGGATCCATAACCTGGATGCAAAGGCTACACAAAATAATACAAAATAATAATAATAATAACATATAATAATAAAACTCACCTGGAGGAGGAATAACAAAGAAAGGTTCAAGGCTTAAGACCAGCTTAATGCTCAGTAGAGTCAAAGGACCAAACCCACTGGCCCCAGACCAGGAGACACCAGACTATCAGCACCTGAGGGGACCCAGGGACCAATCAGGGATCAGGGG